TCTATTTAGGCCCTTTTAAGAGTTCGAGAAAAGGGATAATCTGTGTCCATAAAACGGGTCTACATGTCATTGTTTTTCCGATTTACACGAAGAATAACGTGTAGGAAGCCTAAGTAATTTCATTAAATTTGTAGAAACTGTTTATGCTGTGTAGTATTATTGTTTTGTTTTTCATAAGCTTTATTTATCTACGAAGGATGTTATCTGATTGGCTACGAAATAAATGAAAACTCATCGCGGTTGTTTCAAGTTTATTCTTGTACCGCACTCTTTCTGTTGGAAGTATGTTAGGGTGAATAAGATCACAGTAATTCCATGTTATGTTTCAGTTTGTATCTTATGATGAATATACACTAACATCGTATTAAATATGATGTGTTTGATATAGTAAGCAGTGATTAGCCAACAAGCGAAGACAGACGTATCCGATCATATTTAGTATAATATACTATCTTATATATAGAATTGATCTTGTTTTCGTTCCACTTTGACTCCGCTTGTTTACTGATTTGAAATGTGTAATAATATACTGTTATTGTGGCCTACCTCGGGTTCTTGGTTGCCAGTCGGATAACTGAGTCTAGTGTACTGCATGATCTAATACTCAGCTTAGTTTTTGATTGTACTATCTAATCATACAATGGTCTAGTAAAGTTTAGAGTCATATACTCCGAAATCTGGTTTTCAGTTATAAAACTGATGTCACATTCCAAATATTACAAACGATTTTTTCCGTTCATTTTTCATCCATTTTGAAAATAATTATCTTAATGTAACAAAACGAGATAAGAAATGTCTTAAAACAGGTTGTATGAACCTGTGAATCATAAACTGTATTAGACCCCAGCCATTTAAAATTCTACAGTAAGAATGGCCCCCAAATGCCCTGGTATAGTTGAGGGTAGGGAGAGTCAGCTTTTCCTCTCGAAATGCTCTCACATGGCGATGTGTACACAGCCACTGTCAGGAAAGTCCTATTCACTAGCTTCTCGCGACGAGGTGTTGTTTACGAAATTGAGAGGAGGGAAAGCTAGTGTTCGGCGCCTTAACCGGGTTGATGAATATGGAGAGTCTACCATGGGGCTGCATCTCCTGACGTTGCTCCACTGCCTCGTGGGTCAGACCTTTAGGTCAAAGGCTCCGGATGTGGCCTCCTAAGAAAACCACCTGCTTCGGTTTGGGCACCCGGGCAGTATCATAGCCCACGCATAAGTCAAGTGACTTGTGTGGCGCATATATTCGGTGCCCCTTTATATCAATATTTATGTGTTCAAATAAATAAATGCAGTAAGAATGATGTATGTCCAATATTGAATCGGTTTACACTTTACATCTAAGTTACTTTCTAACAGGATGGTCCTTACTTAATATCATCAATAAAAAATTAGTGAAATACTTCTAACTTGTGGACCGGAGTCAAATAAGGCTGCTCACTCTCGTCTTTTCCATCTGAGGAAACACGGAATACAATGGACGGCTTGGATGCAACTAGATGATTTGGACCTCGCAGATGACCTAGCCCTTCTATCCCATATACACGAACAAATGAATATGAAGACAACTAGTGTAGCATCAGTAGGCCTCAACATATACAAAAGAAAAAGTAAGGTCCTCAAATACATCACGGAGAACACCAACCCAACCACATTTGATGGAGAAGCTCTGAAAGATATGGGGTCTTTCACGTACCTGTGAGGCATCATCGATGAACATGGAGGATCTGATGTAGATGTGGAGGCACAGATTCTCAACGTACGGGCGGTATCTCTACAAATGAACATTTCGAACTCAAAACAACTATAAGTCAATATCAAAGCCAGAATCTTCAATACGAACGTCAAGACAGTTCTACTGTACGGGGTTGAAACGTGGAGAACTACTGCAGACATCATCAAAAACGTACAAGTATTTCAAAAACAGTTGTCTACGCAAGATATTAAATGTTTGTTGACCGGCTATCATCAGTAACAGCCTAATGCGGACAGAGCAAACCAGCTTCGAGCTGACGAGGAAATTAGAAAAAGGCGTTGGAAGTGAATAGGGCATACATTTCGGCAATCACTAAACTGCATCACTTGACAATCTCCCTAACTTGGAATCCTGAAGGGAAGTAGAAAAGAGGAAGGACGAAGAACACACTACATCGAGAATTAGAAGCATACATGAAAAGGATGAATAGCAACTGGAAATAGTTGCCCAAGACAGGGTTAGATGGAGAGGGCTAGTGGTTGGCCTATGCTCGTCCACGAGGGGTAACAGGCGTAAGTAAATAAGTACTTCTAACTTATCTGTTCCTCGACAACAATTATATTCCTTGACATAACCGAAGGGTTCTTCAGTAATGTTTGTCATTTAAAAATGTACATAAATTTGTGAATATTCTCTTTGAAAACTGTTGGTGAAATACTAGCTGAGATCAATCTTAAGTGGTGCTCTTTAAGGCAAGCTGGTCTCTTTACTTCTACTTAGTTTTGCGATGTACATACTCATACAAATCGCACTTCCTTTATATAACTTTTCATAGAAAATCCAATTATAGAGCTCAGAATACACAGATTAATTCGTCCTGTTTAATGAAGAACTTGACAAAATTCTGAGTTTTCTGATAGCAACAATCCAAGCATGATTGAGATAAGCGATTATCACGACTAGTTGGTTGAATGATATAGCTGAGAATCAGTCTCAATAGAGTCAATGTATGTGATCTTTTTCTACCCGAAAATCCTAAGCTTATTCCATACCTTAATTTCTATGCCTGATCTTTTTTACTGCTACTAACTCTATTTTGATATTGATCGTGATAATTCCACCTACCTGTGCCGATGAAGTATGATGTGAAATGGTGTAATATTGTTTTAGATTATATGTTGCTTATAGCTGACTGACTGTTTGAAGCTTTAATAATCGCTTAACTGATTATTCTCTTCATAAACATTATTTCTCAGCTAAAGATTTTATTTAAAATTATAGATTGTGTACTATATTATATTCCATCATATCCACGCCCCCAAATGCCCTGGTACGGCCGAGAGTGGGGAGAGTCCGCTCTCCCTCTCAAATTGCTCTCACATGGCCACGCGTATATAGCCTCTGTCAGGGAAGTCCTACTAACTGCCTTCCCGTGGCGGGGGTGTTGTTTACAAAATAAAAATCATATCCAGCAGAACAATTTATTTAACCAAATGAGACAGACATATCTTACCAAAACAAAAATAAATCATAGGATTAAATATAACTACCTGAAAGCCTTTCCAAAACTTACATTCAAATGAAGTCATCCATTTACGTACATTGAGGCTTTTTTTCAAACACTAAGCGTACGTGACAACTAAATCAGTTAGTAAATTATGTTACTCAAGATTTTGTTTATCACATAAGATTTTTTCATTTCATTTATCATAATTAAGAGAATAGTTTACTTAATACGAATGAGATTCATGATAACCTTAAGCAAAATGTATCAAGGAAATCATCCTCAAAGGATCATAAAACACTTATATGATTGAAATGTTCCGATCAACAACATCCCGTGCTCATTAAACCTATCTAAATGAAACAAATCTCCTAATTTTATTCTCTTCAAGTGTTCTGATTATCTTACAGACATACAATAAGATAGTTACATAGAAAACATCAATAATAAGACAACCACACACTCGAGTTTCACAATGTTGTTCAAGAAAATACCTTCTTGAGTAAGACTAATTTTTTGACCAAAGATATTGGCAAACATAGAACATTTGGTATCTCTCAATTATGTATAATAAGAAGACAATTTTCGGTAATTATGCAATGGATTATTTCAGTGTTATTAATATGTTTAGGTCTCATCTTTTTGTATGGATAAATTGCATACGTGGTAGAACAGTCTAGTGTTAATGTTAAATGAATACCAATATCATTACAAATTTACCCCCAAATTCATAGTTTAACATCGTCCGACTTTAATGAGTTCAAGATCATGAGTATAAACTTGAAGTTTCGGTATTTGACCGGTGTTATGATTTATCAGTGGAACTTATTACATCGATAATTTTGGCTTTTACTAACTTCGATCTAGTAACAACTGAATCAAACCACAAATCCTAACTAAAAATAAGGAATTTACGGTTATACGTTGCTTGGATATTTGCTTACGACTGAGAATGATCTTGTAGTAGAAGTTATGACAGTAAACAAAGATAGTAATATTCTACTGATTAGAACACGTTTCATATATTGTCCGACCTGAAGAACTATGTCACAAGTCCAAGTGAGAGATTGAGGAAGTTGTAGTTTTTATTATATCCAAAGATATACACAAGATTGCATATATTATGAGTTGATTGATTTTGAAAATACTACTCAGTGATATTAAATTTAGTGGTTTTAAAACAAAAGTGTTTACAATTAATTCAACTACAGGACAGATAACAAAATACGCAGTTTTGAGGAGATATGATGTGAAACGAAACTGCTAATTTAAATACCTAACTGAGATATTCAGCTTTCCGGTTCTTGTCGTCTAGTTATGTGATCAATGTAGCTTGATAATGAACTCTAGGTTCACATGGTCGCCTTAATGGTTAATAGCTTAGTAGTTGCATGTTTGAATTACGCCCTACATAGTTCAGTCTGAACAACCAGGTAAGTATCACTACCTCACCCACTACGAGTATCTTGATGCAAAATGCATGAATATGTATCTGGTAAATGATTTTTGATAAGGCGATCGTCATTTAATTAATATGAATTGTGTGAATTTCAGAGATAATATCCGACCGTCTAGCCTATTCTATTGTAAACAGAAGGTGGTTGAAACATTTAGTTAAAGCCTATCGCTTTAACCAGTAAGTAACCGTTCCAATCAAATATATAAGATCGATCATCCAGTTAGTAAACCCCTGTTGCTCCTATACTTTGAAAAATAAAAAGAAACAGATTTTAAAAAGCATACGCGTGTATTTTTTTAGTTTTAAAGAACCAGGATACAAATAGATAATGATAAAAGCGAACAGAAGTTACTGATTTTCTTTCATTTTTATAGTTAATCTTGCCATTTGTAGAACACCATCGCGAGTTTTATGTACACCTAAGAACCCAGTAGAATGTACAAATACACAATCAGGCAGTCCAACAATATTACTTAACTGTTCATCACGTAAACCTCTCCAACTTTCAGGTAAAGGAAGTCTAAAATAATGTAAATTCAAAAAATGTTGTTGGATTCACCAAAATAACTCATATATATGACTAAGTAATAATTAATAATTAACCATTGATATCACGAACCAACCTAATTTAGACATTCATTGAAAGCCAAAAAGCACTGTACAGCTGAGTCGTACTAGAATGCGACTCTTCAACAGTGAGCAACAATGACCTTACCGTGGATAGAACCCGAAAAACTGGTCTTGCACGCAACCACTTAACCTCCAAACCACTGAGTTGAAATTCAGTGGTGTATGTCATGTGTTCGCCATCGATACCTGAGTCTGATCCTCGGTAAGGTTGTCGACGCACACTGCTAAGGATGAATCATAAGTCTAGTGCTTTTCGGTTTTCAGTGGATGTCTAAATTAGGTCGGTATACGATATAAATGACGTCCAATAATATGTATAAACCTCTAATACTAATAAATAATGATTGGTTTAGGATAGAAAAAACTCCTATTACAGGTGATGAGCTCAACAATGACAATGAACTAAGGACAGACGAGTACAGAAAAAGACTAGTCCAATATAGACGGACAGTAAAACAAAGTGTATCAATTAATGACAGAGTGGTTAGTTTTATTTATTTATTTAAACACATAAATATTGGTACAAACGGGCACCAAATATATATGCGCCACACAAATCTCATTTGATTTGTGTGACGGCTGTGATACTGCTCAGATGCCCAAACTGAAGCAGGTGGTTTCTTAGGGGACCACACCCGGAGCCTTTGACCTTAAAGTCTAATCTAAAAGGCAGTGGAGCATCGTAAGGAGATGCAGTCCCATGGTAGCCAGTGACCAACGATTGATTCATACACCATTTGTTACCTTAGGATACTGGAGCTAGCCCATGTGCACCACTGGTTTGGAATCACGGTTTTCCAACTCCCATAGGTGGACTTTCCGTGTCCACCAACCCGGTTAAAGCGTCGCATATTCGCTTTTCGTCCTCTCAATTTCATAAACAACAATCCTGTCGTGAGAATGCAGTGAATAGGACTTCCCTGACATTGGCTGTATACACATGACCATGTGACCATTTCGAGAGTGAACTCTCCCCACTCTCAGCCGTACCAGGGCATTTGGGGGCTTGGCTAGCTTACAACTAACCAATAAAACAACAAGAGAAATCACTAAGAAATTATACAACAGAAAGACTAGTTATTAATGAGTACTACACCTATAATATACAAATCTCACAACAACAAAAACTAAAACTTACCTTTGTGAAAAATTATTATGTTCATTTAATGGTATAGCTTGTATAGTCCATGTACTATCTTTACGTTGATAAATAACAAATAAAAGTGGATCATTTTTTTCAATTTCATTTATATTTTTATTATTTAATAATATAGATTTTTCAATTTCAAAAAAATGTGTACTCCAAGGACATCCAGTACCTTCAATATAAATTATTGAACCAGATGAATCAATTGAATAACGATTTTTGACAGCATTTAATACAATCTCACGAGCTGGATACCATGTATCAGCATAGAAATGAACTAATGTAGTAAACTCTTTATCGACTAATTGTAATGCATTATGAAAACAAACCTAAAATCAATGTATATACATATATGAAAAAAGACTAATCACATAAAAATGATTATGTTTATATTAAACTAATAATCACATACAGAATTTACAGTTTTTACGGCATGAGTCAATTGCAGCTAGACCACCATGAAAAATCTGGAAGCAATGGACGGCCGTTTCGTCCTATTATGGGACTCCTCAGCAGTGAGCATCCACGATCCAGCCTCGCGAGATTCGAACTCAGAACCTACCAGTCTCGCGCCAGAGCACTTAACCGACAGACCACTAAGCCGGCATCCGATGGTGTTAATGCCTAACTTCAACCAATCCAGATAATGACTTTGAAATGAAGAATAGTTTTCTTTTTGCGTTATAAAAGGAGATGCATAAATACTGCTATACAATAACAGATATGTCCTCATTTTCGTTATCGTTCAACTATAATCTCATATTAAATAAGAAAGTTTATTCTGTAGTGAAAATTAGATTTAAGTTTACAACTGATATGAAGTTATTTTACTAAAACGTTCTAGTATGGGGGAGAGTTTGCTCTTCCTCTCGCAATACTATCATATGGCCACGCATGTGTAGCCACTGACAGAGAATCCTTAACCACTGCGTTCTCGTAGCAGGTGTGTTGTTTACAAAAGTGACAGGTTGTAAAGCAAATGTCCGGCGCTTAAGCCGGCTTGGTAGATACAGACCATCCACTTATAGAAGTCGGAAGACCCTGATTTCAAACCAGCGGTGCACATAGGCTCCAGGATTCTGAGGGAACAAATGGCGTATGAACCTATTTTTGGTCACCGGTTAACATGGGACTTCATATCTTTATATCGCTTCATTGCTTTGTGTAATAGACCTGTAGGTGAAACGCTCGGGGAGTGGCCTCCTAAGAAAACCACCTGCTTCGGTTTGGGCGCCTGTGCAGTATCTCAGCCCTCAAAATAATTGTCGGATTTGTATAGCGCATAAAACAGTGTTTATTTGTTAAAATAAATAATAAATGAAAATTCGGGGACAAGTTAATTTGCATATTATATTATGTATAAATCGAAACGATGTGTTCACCAATATCAGACAAATGTAGCTAAATATGATTTCCCTGTTTAACAGGATCTTATTAATCCTGACTAATGAAAAATATGTAATTAATTATCGACCTATTAATCAATTTAAGTAAATATTCATGTCACAGAGATCATTAGTTTGATACCCGAATAGATCAGTTACAGGATTTGCAACTACAATGACAAATAATAACCGTTGGAATGTTGAAAATAAATAGATCTCTTGAAGGTAGTAAATACACTATATCAACGAGTATTAAGAAACAACTACCAACTTATAAACTATTGAACTGATTTCAAAGCAACAACTCAAACAAAACAAGCTTCTCAGAAAACAAAAGTCTACTAAAAAAAAAGTAAAACACGAGTAACATTTTGGAACAAAGGAACAAAAATTCACCGGGATAATGAAACAACTAAACAATGATATACAATGAATTGGTATCTGAAAATAATAATTATACTGATTCGTTTGTATTAGTTGTTTGAATCTTCCCATTGATCTTTAGAACTGCAATCGATCAGTCTGTTATGACATATGTGGATCTTGTTTGGAATATCTCGATATTACCGTTGATTCGCAAACATAATAGGCAAATATGGATATTAGTTATCAGTGACGCACACCTCGCCCCACATGAGACTCGTCAGCTGAATGTATCTGCATCCCAGAGTTGATGTTCACAACAGGACTAGAATTTTTATACTGTGTATTTTCATTTGTAATCTGGGGAAAATGGACAAATATATCAACTTACAGTTTCATCTGTATCCAACTGATTCCAGGCTGGATTCATACGATTCACTCGACTACTTAAAGATGTATTCATAGAATATCTATAATTTAAAATTATTAAATATCAATTTAAAAATTCAAACAACCTTAAAGGTGTTGCTGCCATAGGAACACCATTATCGATAGCGTCTATCTCAACAATAAATGAACTATACATCTAAAATAACATAAATAAAAGGAGAAAATGTTTTATCAAATTCTAAAGGAAGTAAATTGCATCCAGAAAAAATCAATCTCTTAATGTACAAAACTTACCTTATCAAAAAGTGACGTCACCAATGGATCCATAGTATTTTCATCTATACCAAGTATAAAACTTAGTATTTTTCGACCGAAATGAACGTATATCAAACCTGCACTACTTAATTTTATATCCCAATCAGAATTTGGATAAAAATCTTTATAAGTAAGATTGAATTCTCTAGAAAAAGTAAGATTCAAAGGAAATGGAAAAAAAGATGAGTTAATTTTAACAAATTATAATGCTAACCTTTGATGATGGTCGTATAGATGATTTTCAGGATTGAATACACCACCAACATCAACGACGATATCGCATGTTGACAAAATACTTGAATCTCTTGTGCGTATAATTTCAGCATTTGAGTATTCCGGTAAATGTTTAAGCATTGCACATGCAAGTACTTCATCTGCATGGAATCGTCCATCATGTGTACCAATACGCAGTCTTGAATTAGCTACCATTGATATTAACGAAATATTGTTAGCTACATGAAAGACGAAAACAACACAGCATGATTAATGACTAAAAATTGATTTATTAAAGTCTTATTACATTTAAGTCAACTGATTTACTAAGTGACATATTCGTGTACTTGGCTTCGAGCCACATCACAAGTGTGAGAGGCAGTTATACGACATGGGAGAGTAGGTTTTGAGTATGAGATTACGCGGCTAAAAGTTAAATGTTTTAACTACAGAGCTACTACTCCGATTATATAATAGGTTCACGTTGTTGGAAATACAATTTTATGGTATTTTGATAGGCAGTTTGTAAATGAGTAAATTTTGGCTAAGAGAATCAACTTTTTGTATATACGATATTAGGTGAAGTAGTTGGCGTGCGTTTTGTGTTGTATAGGCCAAATTATAAAGTAAACTACCGTTCCCAATACTTCATTAAAATGAATGTTAGGATCGTTTACTCGACAATTCAATACTTGCAATAAATATCAACAAGTGACTGGTAATATTAACTACGAAATAGTACTTCTACTCAAGCATTATTATTATATTAAGCAAACATGGATAGTGGTTAGCAGTGGAATCCAAGACGAGCGTTTCGTCCTATTCAATAGTCATCAGCTGGATCTACCTGCTTTCTATATTCTGGTTGTATAAGTAGGAAAGTGTAGATGCATTCACTTTTTGTCTACCCCGAAATCTCAAGTTTCAAATTAGCTTTATACCTTTTATTGTGGGAATTCATTCGTTTTATTCAAATTAGATTCTCTATTACTAATCCTTTTTAGATTATCTCTAATACAACTATTCATTTGACATACATATTGATAATTTTATCTCGTAGCCCTAATCTATCACGACAACTCGGACGTATGTGAATGTGTGTCAAGTTTTACGTTGCTAAAGGCACACTGATTGCGAATGTACGACTCAGTAAATTAAGAATATAACTTTTAGGAACTGAGTTCAAACTTCATGAAACTTATAACATTTTGGAGAAATAATCTTCATAATGAAATTTCATACAAAATGAATACCTAGTAGTGTGATGTATCAATTACTAATGAATAGTTTAATTTATTTCTATATCCCAATCATATTACAGGTTGCAAACCCTTAAACACGAAAGTGATAGAATCTTACATTCATGTGAAAGTAAATATTGATGAACTGAAAATATGAAACAAATTCAGAATGTTATTTGACAAATGGGTGTAAATATTGAGAAATCAAAGTATATTTTGTAACGAAATCAAATGACCAGATGAAATAACAGACAATCATACAAAGAGTTTATCAATTATCAGTTAGTTAGAAACAACGTAGAATCTGGCACATATGTCGATTGGTTTAGGTTGCCATACAATTACAACATAGCTAGATGAAATTATTAAGACAAACCTCAGAGTATCAAAAGTAAAAAATTGGCATAGACAATATTATTCGCGAAGAAAAAGAATGCATCCGTACAATTGAGCCATGCTACCGAACGTCTCAAACCACTGATCATAGCTATCACGCAACTGTAACCAGGTAAATCTGTGCGGACAAACACGGTTAAAAACTCAAGTCTTGGTTTAGATGGCCTTAGTTACATATAACCTACTCCTAGAGCAGTAAACATCTCGTATCAAGGGTGGTGGTGGTTGGACATACGCAATACATGTACCAACCGTTTCAGGAAATAAATATTCATTACCTCATCAACCTATTTGCTATATTTGTAGTCTATGCTACTTATGTCGACAGACATAAGTACTATTTAACACCAATCAGAAGGGGAACACCTGGCAACAGAAGGTTGAGAAGATCGAATCGGAGAGAGTGGGAACAGAGAGTAACTGCAACAGTAATGAAGGAACAATGAAGATTGAGACAGTTGATGGAGGATTTACAAATGAAGTACTTAATGTATAGTTTTCACAATTTACGAAAGAACTGTCATTTTGTATCAAACAATAAATTGGCTGTCCCTAAATCTGTTCTCGTTCATCACATATTTATACAGTGACCTTCGTTTAACATTGGCAATACCCAATCTGTGGTCTCAACGTTTGTGAGTAGTGTGTCGAAGGGTGAGTTATAGAATGACGTATTTTGTCAAAAACAATTGCAAGTAAACAGCTTACAATCTAAAGCAAATAAACAATATTTGACATTTAACAACTTAAACCACATGAATGATCTATCATTGGAAAGATATATCAACAAGAATAACGTCTTAAATCACTACATTGTATGTAATAATGGAATCAAATAAGACGGATTGTAGCTAGTAGTGGAATTCAGGACTCATGTTTCACCTTACTTATGACTCATCAGCAGGATGGACATGCATTTCAATGCTGATGTTTACACCAAGACTTGAACTATGAAGATTTAGTAAAGAATATCAACTACAGAGTAACTCAAACTATTACGAATCAAATCAAAATAGTGGGATCAGCTTTGTCAAATATCAGAGAAATATTACTCCTCCAAAATTGATGAAGTTTTATTCGCAACTGTGAGTTTTATCTTGGATATACACGTCTACATAATGTAAGCCGCTATTATACATAATAAACAAAATATTAGAACTACCAGACAGATAAAAAAATCGTCAGTATGAAGTTTTTGAGAATATTAAATTTCAATAGATTTATGAACCCATTTAAGTTACACCGTTGGGTATCGACTCAGAAACTCAGCGACTAAGCAGTTGAACACGAAACTAAAGGTCTTGGGTTCGCTTCTCAGTTTCCGGGTCGTGAATGAGGACCGCTGAATAGCCCTACAGCGAGACGAAACGACCGTCCAATAGTTATAAGTTTTCAGTGGTTGTCTAACTCAAATCGGTTCGTAACTTCAATGAAACGGATAATTGTACTTTAAATCAACAATTACAAAGTACAACAAAATGATTGCTTTTAAGCTGTTCCAAGTCGTAAACGACGTAGGAGCTGGAACGAATATACATCAACCAAAGTCGTGATACTACATCCACACAACACGAAATAATTAAGAAGACAGACAGCTGAGAAGTTAATGTTATCGTCTCTTCTAATTAAGAAAGGAAAAGTGTAATCTGGATACTCCAAGTTGATAATTGAGTTTCGTGGTAAGAGAATAATATGTGGAAAGATCGACCAAGAAAGTATTATTTCTAAAAACACAACTATGATGAATATAGAAATGAATCATGAAAGTGAACAGCAAGGTTACGGATCATGTTCTACATTAGTATTTATAAATTGAAGTTTGTAGAACTAAGGAATAACACCAAATAAATATTTAATATAATTTGTTAAACTTTCCGAAATACAATAAAGTATATCATTAATGATAATCAAATTTAACAACTCTTTCGCATACATACACTACAAATACGGTCAAAACTACAATACATATTAACGTACAATATGACGTCTGAAATATATTATAAACTAACGAGGCAGTCCTCATTAAGAAGGTCAATGCACAGAATAAGATACTTCCGAAAATTATTGATAAGAATTGTCATAAATAACAAGAATATTATAAGTATGGTAAGCAAAGATGGAAAGTGGCTAGCAATGGAATCCAGGATGCACGTTTCGTCCTATTTGGGACTTGTCAGCTGGATGTACCTGCATCTCAGAGTTGATGTTCACTCTGGGACTCGAACCCAGTAACTTTCCCTTCAAACGCCATCGCGATATCCAATCGGTTACTGAGTCCTGATAGCCACTTGCTTGTGCAATGGGGTGAAGTTTAAATTCAACTTAGTATTGTTTGTTTGAACTTTCCCATTCATGCTTAGGACTGCAACTGGTCAGTCTCTTATTGGCATATGTGCATACTGTGCGTATTGCCTCGATATAGCCTAAATTCACAAGCATGGTAAGCAATGATGGGTAGTGGATAGCAGTGGAATCCAGGACGCGCGTTTCGTCCTTTTCGAGACTGACCAGTTACAGTCCTAAACATCAATAGGAAGATCCAAACAAACAATACTAAGTTGAATTTAAGAATATTATCGTTTAAAAAACATTAGTGTTAGTCAATGACAAAGTGTTATCATTAAACAACGTATTGATGGACTATTCAAAAAGAACCAAAATATTTAAATAAAGATTTTTACGATATCGTAAATTTGGTGGAGTTAAATTTTCTAAACTGAGTAGTGAAGTTTTCATTGTCCTTCAGGACATTATCACTATATGTGGAAAAATGATTTAGAATAGTTCACCTCTATCTAAAGTTTAATCTTAATGATATTGCTCAGACGGTAACTGATAATCTCACAACTAAACAATTAAGGTGAGAGAACAAAACCGTGCCAAAAACATCCACCTAAGCAAATGTTCACCATCTCACAGTATAGAAAACATTAACAGGTATTGTATTTTTCAAGCAAAGCATAGATTTATGAACTTTATTCCAAACCAGTTTATAGTAAATTACAGCTAATGGTATTTACCGGTCACTCAAATCGAAATGGTGGAATATAAGAATCCAATCTCAAACCCACTAACTGACAGCTAAATATATTAACTACTAAACCATTGATCCACCTATTCACTCTCTAACCTCATATTTACCATGTACACTTGCTTTATGAGAAAAAAATGGAATTATTGTTGACGCTACTATTGTGATTATGCGAAGACCATATTGTTGAAAATTGTAGTTCAACAAGCATAATCCATAAGATCAGTGTTATATAGCAGCGAAGATATAAGTACGGGTAACTCCCAGGACCTATCATTGGACTATTATTCTTATTGTATAACTATTCAGTAACTAGATTATCTATATCTATATTCATCTTATTATAAGCTTCATTTTGACCTATTGATTATTATTATATGATTTACTGTTCCTAAGTTATACTGAGTTTATTGATTATTGTCTCCTATATTCACAGCTACAATTGGCTTGGTTTTATACATATATTATTTTCTATTTTATGGTGTGATGTGGTCTGTTTGTCTGATATATAAACAGAGTAAGTTTGAAATAACTGATTCGCATAGATTCATATTGCCGAGGTTGCTATTGGTGTTCTGGACTCAAGTGGACGGGCTAGGCGGATTAAGGACCAATAAGGACGCTAGATTACTTATACTAATCGAACGTCATTGTCACACTGTTAAGGTCGCAGGGGTAGAATTCTATTGGTGGGTAATGCACGCGAGTTACGTAATTGGTTAATTTGTAAGGTCATAACAAATCGGCGACGACCTTGAATAAGTCACAACAATTGGCTACGACCTTGATCAAGACATAACAATTGGCGATGGCTAGGTCAAGACACAACAATCAGTCATATCGATATCATTTTTTTTTAAATACTGAAGCTAACTATAAAAGTAGGTACTGTAAAAGTACGTAATGATGATACAAACGCATATTACAAGAAATATCTCACTTTTAGTTAACTGAACATAGAATGAAAATAAATAAGCAGGGAATTTTCGAAGCTTGTTGAATTGATAAGCCCTTTGAAGAATCTAAAAATACAAAACTGAAAGGATAAATTCCAGTTTCAACGAATAACTAATATTATATAGTTGAAGCTAAACCACTATGGAAAACCTGGAAGCACTGGACGGCCGTTTTGTCCTATGGTGGTCTAGCTTCAATCGACTAATGATTTCCACTATATGAAATTACTAGAATCTCCACAAAACCCCCTTCTCAAAAACTAATATGCCTAAACCCATCTTTTTTAAACAATCAATATACAGTTTGAGTTAAACAAGCAAAAACGTAATCAGTTTAATTTACTTAAACATGTAATAGATTATACTATTAACTATATGTAAGTTTCTGCGTAATAAACACTTAAAATGTCATAAAATGTAACAGATAGTTTTGAACATTTAATGTTTACATGAGATGGCTTGTCAAATTAAAGACAGTAATGGCGAAAGATTACAGTGTGAAGTCATAGAATAAAATAGAGTATTCGTGTATATTCAAACGCCCCCGAATGCACTGGTACGACGAGAATCGGAAGAGTCCGCTCTACCTCTCCAAATGCTCTCACATGGCCACGTGTATACAGCCCCTACCAGGCAAGTAGTACTTACTACCTTCTTGTAACATTACTGTTGTTTACGAAATTGAGAGGACGAAAAGCGAATGTCCGGTGTTTTAACAGGGTTGGTGGACACGGAAAGTTCACCTAGGGGATTCGGAAAACCCTCATTCCAAACCAATGGTGCACATGGGCTAGCTCCAGTATCCTGAGGAAACAAAGGGCGTATGAATCAATCGTTGATCACCGGCTACCATGTGACTACATCTCCTTAAGATGCTCCACTGCCTTGTGGATCAGATCTTTAGGTCAGAGGCTTCGGGTATGGATCCCTAAGAAACCACCTACATCATTTTGGGCACCTGGGCAGTATCACAGCCCTCACACAAATCGAATGAGAATTGTGCGGCGCATATGTATCTGGTATATTCATACGAAGATAAAATCATATAATAACTAGTGCGATTTAGCAAATTATACAACGTGAAAGATAATAAATTAATAGTTCTTGTGTATGCAAAATTACGGTATTTCTAATTCATTTAACCAAATAATCAGTAACAGGCTAATTTTTATTTTAACTAATGAAGATGCCTTTAGATGTAGCAACTCAGTGACCAAGTTAATGTTTGTAAACACGATTTTGAGCTACAATTTCTCGGGACAATAACAATTTATAATCCTTTTATGTTTAGAGTGCCGTAAGTGAATTAGGATTCAAAACCATAGCCCAGTAGTCGAGAATCAAATGTTTTAAGCATTAAACTAATATGTTTAGCTTAAACTTGGAAAAAAACTGATCACAAAATCAAATAATAAACAAATGCTAATCAATTAGTTTTCTGTTTTATACTAACGAAAATTGATTCTATCATATTGTGTATGATTTATTCAGTGAACATATACATTCGTGCAGTAGTGGTAGCTGAGTAGTTTGAGCTATCGGCTTTCGATAAAAAGGATACCCGTTCTGAATCCACTCCGCCTATTTCTATTCAAGGAGGGGACTAGATAATACTACATCTCCTACACAACTAATGTGACTTAAAGATGTGTAGTATAAACCTGAACATTGTAGAAATTAAGTAATAACATCAATGACATTAAACACACAGCATCCAACTGAAACAACAAAAATTTCCACATATAATAGATTAAGTTAATACGATAATAAGGGATGAATTATATTGAGAAATATGACTATCATGGTTTAGTTTGTGAATTTGTTTTAGTTAGATAGTCATTACAGACGAGGAAGCATTTAGAAGCTATTCTGTCCTGGTATTGGACTCTGGCAATGAGCGTTTATGACCAGACCAGCGATAAATTCAGGACTTGCAGATTAATTGGATGCCGGGTCCAGTGGTTTGAAGGTTAAAAGCTCGTTGTGTAATATGCAGGCTTTGTATTTTACCCGTCAGTAGGCTCATAAATACTCAATGCTGAGAAATCCCATACTAGAAAGAAACAGTTATCCAGTGCTTCCTGCTTCCAATAGTGTCCTAACTACGAACGGTTCGTGATGAAAACTATGAAATATAACATTCTCCACAAACTTCCTATAGAAATATGTTTTTTTATATAGTTGAGATCATAAGTCAATTGAAGCTAGACCACCATGGAAAACTAGAAGCACTTGATGGCCGTTTCGTCCTATTGTGGGACTCCTCAGCAATGCGCATCCACGGTCCCGCCTCACGAGATTCGAACCCAGGAACTACCAGTCTTGCGCCAGAGCACTTAACCGATTGACCACTGAGCCGGCATCCAACAGTGTTAATGTCTAACCTCTCAGTACCTTATGATTCAGTAAGCAGTAAAAATATCAAAAGACAACACAGCTTGTGACTATGAAGAACTTTTATCTAATAAATTCTTTATATACATTTTTAACCAACTAAAAATACATGGATGCTTAATCTAGATTCTCGTGAATTAAAATCTTAACAAATTAATAAACAGCCTACAACAAAGTGATTATCTTACTAACTTACATATTGTCATTTTCAATAACAAAGCAAATAAATTTGAGTTACTAATTTTGAGTGCTTTTCATGGTTTATTAATTGTAATAAAGCCACAAAAAGAAAGAGTAGATTAATGAAATTAAATATGCTGAACAAGTGGTTAAACTCAAAGTAAACAAATGATCATCTCTATTAGTAAACTGGTCACTTTACAAGATAGATTAAAAGCATTATTTAATAAACACAGAAGAACTCAGTAGCTAAGTGAATAACTAAATGGATATTTGAAGTGAATGACATCGGGTTGAAGTCTCAAAGTGAGTATTCACATTAGGATCTAAATACACACGATGGAGTCCCAAATACGCTGGAACGCACGTCTTGGATTCCACTGCAAGCCACTGTTTAACTTTAAAATACTTGTCAATTAATGGCAACACAGAGACAATCTGCTAAGAATGTACATATGCCAAAAGACACTGATCAATCACAGTCCTTAAAATTAACAACAGGAAGATTAGAACATTTATAAATGAAAGGATTTAAATGCTTGAAAATCCATATGAATTGTGTGAGTGACCGGAAATCGGGCACATTGGTCACCAATTTTTATTAGCTCAATAATTACTAAAGCGTATCCATAACAGACAACTAAATCGATGTGTACTCAATTCACTATATGTTTAGATAGGTTACTGATTAAAAGTATATATTATAGTTCAGACTATCTTATTACTGGATTTGAATTAAACTGAAAGGATTATAAATGAACAGATAAAAAAATAAACACATTCAGCTGATACTATTTTGCTAGATCAGATCATACATTTGTAGAATCATGCAACAACATACAAGTACAAACAAACAAAAATTTAGAAGACATAAGAGCAAAAACAAATAATACCATTATATTTCTTAAATCTATAATCTGATGTTTAACAATAGAGCAATACAGTTTAACCCCAAAAGTTCCGGAAAAAAAAAGGAACGTATGGAATAAACAATGGCAGGGTAAAGATAAAAATACACATTTCCTATTTTCAATAAAAAACAAATAGATTTGTTTATCTTTTGTACAACGTTAAGTGATGAGATGAAATGCTATCGAAACAGTAAGAATACCAACAAGTGAATGAATGAATGCATGTATATGTGTTTTATTCTTTCCCTCTACCTCTACCGCGACCGCGGCCACGACCTCGACCACGTTCTTTGGTATTGTTGCTATCAGACGATGAGCATTGCTCTCCTCGTTGTAATTTGGATTTCTCAATGTCTATGCGCTTTTTTTGATCTTCTTTCTTGATCTAGAAAAAAATATATGTATACATATATTAGATATAAAAAGGAAAACCAAAGGATGGATAACTGAGAAATAGATGCATACAGGAAAAAGCCTTATGATAACAACGAAAAAAAATAATATGTAGAGCCAATCAAAAGTAACCTTATGAGAAGGTCAATCGATGAACATAAGAAGTGACCTAGAGGATAAATGCATTTCATTGGCTAAATAATTGATCAATTTCCTAAGGATTAGAGTGGTATATATATTTATGAATGAGTATTTGTACATTTTATTCGGTGGTTGAATACACTTTCTCGCTCACTTTTGTGTTCTCGCTCAAGTAGTCAGTTGGGAGGGGGGGGTTAGTGCGTAGCACAGCGTGTATCAGTATCACATTTTGGAAACCAATCCTCACGACAAAAACAAATGACGACGGTGAGCAGAAGACAATAGAAAATATCAGTGTACATTATTGCATTATGTAGATTGTTCAAGTCAAAACAGATAAATGTTTACAGCGCAACAATACAAAGGTTATTGTAAAAGGAACTCGTCAATGCATTTCCTTTTGTTCATGAGTTACCAATGTCAATTCAAATATAATATAAAGTACTGACATCTTGTATTTCAATGTACACTATTCCATTCAGAATTAAAATCCTTACACATGCGAGTAGATGAACACACATATCCATGGATCTAATCTTGGTAGATATTCACCTCACAGTTATAAGATATAAGATTATTCTTTACAAAATGCAATGAATTTTTATATGGAGAATCGTTACAACATACTACAATCATAGCATCATTCTTCAGGTCAATTTTCTCATCCTCCTGTTCTTCTTCATCATCATCGAATAGACCAGAATCATTTTCATTTTCCTCTCCAAATGAAACTGGAGCACCACCACCACCACGTTTACGTTTAAAAGAACCACTTGATGATATAACATACGGTAGTAAATGCGATGATTTATTATACGTACGTGTTAATGCAGCTTTAACCTTAAAAAGGATATAAATGAGTAAAATAAATATTAAATTATTTAAATGAGTTAACTATAACAGTCAAAAAGGTGACTTACGAAATTTAGGAAACTAATTTATCTAAACAGCCTAGTAGAATAAGATGCCATGACAGTGAAAATCATTTGATTAAATACCATATGTAATCAAACATGTTTAATTACGAAACATTTAGTTAGAATGTGTCATAGAGTTGATATTAAATCCATCTTTGTGGTATTCTACAGATATGGACAGAGGAACAATACTAAGCTTAATTGATCGAGACTGTCTTCTGGTACATGTACAGTTTTCTAATTTATAACGGGCTAAGAGCATAACAGAAAAGATCGCCAATATGTATACTAATAACTTACTTTTGAATCAACACTAAGCATTCGATTTGGTCGATTTGGCCAAGTAGTTAATTCCATTACAGAATCAACATCTTCTCTTGTTATTTGATAACTAATTAAAAATTGAATAGCACTGTCAATATCACCTTGAATATAAACAATTAAACAAATAGTTGTTGAAATAAATAAACAAATATTTTCTTAATTAATAATAAGAAAACAGATAATGATTTAAATGGGAAAATTTTGAAAACTATTACAACAACTCTTATATAAAAGAAAATGTACACAAAAAGACTAGATAAATTGTAAGATGAGAACGAAGGTGACATTAATCACTCAACGCAATGAGGTATCTTAATGGTTACGGCATTAAACTTTCGGTCACTTTTTCTCAGATTCGAATCCCGATCCATTTCGATTTGAACTCACACAAGCGTCCGATAAATGAGTTGACGTTATTGGTTAAATTTTTCACATGGTTCATACTATAAGCTCTCTTTTAGCTAATTTTATCATTATTTTTATTAACTCACTTACAAGGTGTACAGATTAGTATACTTGGCTTAAAACCACATTTTAAGTATCACAGCTAGTGACACTGCCCATTTACTCAAACGAAAGTAGATGGATAGGGATTCGAACCTCAAACTTGGTGGCTGAAAGCTAAAACTCTCAACCACTGACCCGTCGCTTCACCAACTAACCTAATTATCCCTAATGCTTCCGTTGATGACGCATAAAAGTTCGTTAATTATCAACAGCCTAATTACTTTTGTTTATATTTCATTGAGCTTAGCAAAATGACGATATACTGTGTTCTTATATTTTAATTTAGAGAATAACATGAGTTATTCTTTGAACTAGAAATTTGGGGAAGTACAAGTTTTGACCAACCTAACGATCATGAAAAGAAAATCTGTATTATTTGGTTTGTGAATTTATCACTAGCTGTTTAGATGATACAACACAGATAGACGGATTGAACTTTTACACAACTACTCAAACAGAAGACTTCACCCTGATGTACATTAGACAGTAAATGATTACAGCTTTGGTAATGAATTTTAAAACCTTAACATTTTACTGAAATGTGTTAGCTTTTTTACAGTTTTTATAATTACACAGCTTTTTAGTACCAGACATATTTTTAAAACAATTAAAATATATCTGTTCAATTGTTTAGAAAGGGAAGCTATTTCTCGCCCAACCACTATACTTATCATTTGACCGATTTTCGATCAACTCAATGTATCACTTCAAAAACATTTCAAACAAGAAAAAATTGTAAGAATGTTACCTTCTTTAAGTGGACGAGTGATAAGTTCAGAAATTGGTGTAGCATAATCTAGTAATAATGTAAGCGGATTTGATGAACCGCAATGAGTTGCTAATCGTAAATGTGAAGCTAATTCCGAAGTAGTCCGATTGATACGGCTTTGTGTACTGTTCTTACCAAACCAAGATGGAAATGAAACACCACCTGGGCCACCAGGTAAAGAACCACGAAGAGTACGACCAGGTGAAACTGTACTGAACACACCTTGAACAGGTAATAAAAACCATGATCCTGTACGTGATGATCTGATAGTAGATGAAATGATATCTGCAGTAGCGATGTCAGACGCTGCTTGAGACATTAATTGCAAAATTTTTTTATCGTCACTAAAACAAAGTTAACCAGTTATATACGGACGAACCAATGGACACTATTAATATAAATATAAGCAATACGAAAATGTTCGCGTCACAAACCATACCTTACTTCTTTACAATATATACAGCGAACGTAATTCATTTATAAAATAATATTTCACATTTCTATTAGTTTAGTGTAACTCACAACGTACAGTTATGTGTACTTGCTTTTGAACGATACTATAAATGTGACGGCTAGTGATGCTAACTGGACGTCCAAACTGCTAAAGGATACACTCACACATTTAACACTGACGATACGTCTCAAAATAACAGTGTCACAATTCAAATTGATAGGACGTCACAACAGACACACAAGCTTTATAGTTCCTCGATATCACTGTATTTGTATCGATCACAGCGGAATGTGCAACACTAATCTCCTGGAATAATTAAGATTGGTAATTTCTAAAATCAAGAAGCATTAAATAAACTGCTTTAATCTTAAAATCAATGTTTTACTGATGACTCTTTCACTCAGAACTACAGAGAATAGAGAGTCTCCCTCGATGTAGGTAAGCGAGAGGTATCAAAAAGAACTAGTTGAACTTTGGTTGGAGAATTCGAATTTTCGCGTATAATGACTATTGCCGTAGTTACGAAATTGTGATTCGTGACAGATAACTGATTGCAGCTAATATTGTAATGTTCAATGAGATGGATAGTGTTAAAATTGTTTGAAGTGAAGACTTATTGATTAGTTAGTGACAGTTAATTACATTTTTTAACTACTCATTCGTTAACAAACGAATAACTGGCAGTCACACTAATTTGGTTGAATGTCTTCTATCTAAATAACAGTATTATTTCAAAAAATCAAAAATATGCATACACTGAATAAACAACTTCCTCGATGACATCAAGAATACGAGAGAAAAATAACCAGAAAACAAAATTTCATTCATGAATGTTTTGACCAACAGAACAAACACAGGAACTTTGGAGATGCCGGTGTAGGAGTTAGCGAGTATGGAAAACTACAACAGTAACGGCACAAGAGTTGTGAACAGGCGCTATGTATGAGAATCCAAACCGTTACCGCACTCACGATTCCGAAAAATTGAAAGGACTCATCTCTTGTCTGCTTTCCTTGGGAACAACTCTCCTAGCAACTTTATCAAAGTGTTTGATGAGTCGATATACTATCAAAATGTCAACCCTAGAAACCGAGAAACAACTTATCCTGTCGGTAGGGGAGTCCCCAAAACATCCTTCATCAAAGTTTCTAGGGGCCTAGAAATGCCGAGAACCATTGATCCAGTTAGGGTTGGATGGAGGTATCTCAGAAAAATCTAGAAAATGCAGAATTACGTGGCACGTTTCTAACCAGATATTTAACTATACTGCAACTAGATTCAGTATGGCTCCGTAAATTGCCAGGTCGTGTGTAACTAGATAAATACCTTCGTTTTTTCCGTACAAAAAATAACCGTGGAGTAAAGCTTTGACTCACATTCCACGCTTTTTCTCTAGCATTCCAGTTGACGTGTGAAAGTAGTTGAGACTGTAGGAACCGGTTTAGAATACAGTTTAGTCGTATCGATAGCGAAAATTATCATCCGTTACATGTGAGAAATATCTCAGAAACTAATACAATGATCGCAGAACCCTTTATAATCTATTTTATTAACAGACCAAAGCTAAAACTCAATGCCTTATTATGCAGACCTAAAGACACGACAAAGAAAAACGAATCAAATATCATCTACAAAATAAATTGCACATGTGAGAGAAACATTAAAAAAAGCAAAGTAATCGCCCCCTTTATTTATGTATGGAAACAGATTGACAGTGATGTAATGTGAGATAGAATTGATATTAATCCACTTTAACAACTATGAAAATGAATCCGACAAAGAAAATGTTACAACTCTGGATAATGGAACAACAGAGAATTTCTAGAAGCGACACATTCAAATCAAATGGCAATCAATAGATACGTAGGCATATGTCCTGTCTATCGACCGTATTGAAGAAGCTAATTAAAAATATGAATGACAGTTAACTGAAGAAGACAGTCAACAGGAATGCAAAAATAAATGACAATAGAGAAACCTACGAATATAACCATTCAAAAAATACACCATCTGAATGAACTGACTTAGGCTATGAGAGATAAATGAAAAGCCCAATTCTGGATGAAGTAGGCGCTAATGACTTTGTTTAAAACGACAATGAAAACTTTTCCATTAAATTATGTACCTCAAATAACAAAATACTGAGAAAAGTATTAACCTGAAGTGATGAAAATAAAAAAGACAGAAATTCATTGCCCAAATATAACACATTCCACAGATCAATCTTGTCTTTCTATTGCATTTTCGTAACACATTAATTCTAATATTATCTTTTGATCTTAGAAGATGGATAGAACTAGTCGATAGAATTCATTAGTATCCAAAATTTATGTGATCTCTACATCTCATACATTTTCAGTATTTGCCACTTTTAAGACATATATGTATACAGCACCAATGGTATTAATGATAATAACAATAATACTTACTGGGTATTATGAACTCTAACATTGAGATAATTTTCTTCAACAAACAAAGGAATTAAATTGTAATCTTGAAAAAACAAATCTAAACTTTCATTGAATGTAGCAACACTGCCTTGAGAACCAGAAATATCTGGTGCAAAAACTTTACGAATCACATCAAATGCATTTAAGTGTAGATCTTTACGTGCACCTAATGCATCCATTTTTAATCCTTCAGAATCAATTAAACCAGAACTACACCACATTTGAACATTATTAATTACCTAAAATTACAAAGTACAATCATCTATTGTTATCGTTGTTGCTATAAGCAAGATACGTTTAAGATAAACATTTTGAAAATGAAATTGTAATAAAGAAGCTTAGGTCACTAGCAACATTCTTAACGTTCAATAAGTGCGTCATATCTAGCTTTTACGCACATTTTTCCATTGATTAAAAGTGTAAGTGCTTAAAACTAGAGCTTAATTTCCAATAAACATTTCCGTTCAAGAGTTTGAAGTTATCTCTGAATATGGTGGGGATGCTAGATCCCCAGAAATCACTTGGTAAATGTCTCACTTTTGTAATTTTATTATGCAGATTTGAATTTTCCATTTTCGCGCCAAAAGCTTATATTTTTACCATAAGTTAGTATTTTCCATCACGAAGGACCTTAAATGTGATTGGTTCGATTCCTATTTTAGTACGCTAATTTGTGACATTTTCCAAGGACAGTTTTGTACTGTATATATATGCATAAGCTGGGTGCTTGGTTTGTTCGGGCTACTGGCTGCTTTTAGAATACATATTTTTACCGGCTGGATCTGGTCTTTTCTCACTAGTTAACACGGCTGGGGCACAATGGAATAGCTTAGTTTGTCCTGTTGTTTCGTTGACTTTCTTCCCATTCGCCGGTTCTAAGTGATATTGTAATTTCTTCAAATGTATCAATCTGCTATGAACATTTCTTTGTAGTACAGCACAATAGGTTGGACGAAAAACAAACATTGTGAAAGTTGAAATTTGAAATGAAGTTTCTAGGTTAAAATTACATAGCAATATGTAGCAAAAACCCGCTAATTGATAGGAAAGATGAACTAAAGTGCTGTGGATACAACATACACTTACCGAACATTGAAAATGTTGTGGATAACCTTATTCAGTAAGCTTGTGTAAACAATGCTGTGACCGAAATTCTAATTTATAAAGGGTTCTTTAGAAAAATGTAGGTAAAATTCAATATAAACACTTTTAACACACGGTGAATTTAAACTCTTGACAGAGCTAGAAATATTCATTTGTTGAATATTACAAAAATTGCATGCATTAAATAACTCCGACATATTGAAGCATATCATGAACGTATTCACATCTTTAGAAAACACATCTTGCCAAATAGATGTTTATAACGACTAAGAAACTTGATGTACAGTGTTTAAGTGGATGTGTTTCAGTTCGTAGAAGAAATAAATACAATTTTGTAGTTGCATTGGTTCAACTTATGAAATACTATTTCATTACCTGAACTGAAGTAGATGAAGCAGGGGTTTTAACTTATGAACTATTGTTTGCAAACCAAATGCTTTAACCAATAAACCATTCACTCCTAATTTTAATAAGGCTTCTTACCAACAACAACTTATGTACAGATCGTTTAAGTTCATAACATAAAAAATAAGGCGATAATTCAAAAAGAAAAAGAAGAAATAACTTAAAGGATTACTAAACAATAAAATAATACAATTTGGCAAAATTATAAAAGTTTCTTTGTATATTTTACCTGTCTAATATCATGATTACTAGAATCAATAATATTTGTTAATACATCCGGAGGTAAATTCACATTTTCTTTGCAAGCAATAGACAATACTGCTGATTTAATTTGTTCAACTCGTGGACGATGAAATCTTAGATCGAGACAATAGTTAGCCAGAGAGCGCATCTAGTTAAAATAGCAGAATGTATGTGAGCAAACATAAAAATAATAATAATAAACACATTTTTTTAATAAGCTAGTCCGGAAATTTCCCTTAAAATTATAACTGTTAAATCTGCTTACTTAACTTACCCTCAATCCTACCATCTGATAATCTGATGTGTTAATTAAACTACTTAATAATATTCAGTAATTAATTCCACTTTAAATCATTTTGGGACTTCTCAGTACTTACAAAAATTTGTAATATTCAGCGAACTTGTAACTATAAACGTAAATTATAGACACTTTGAACTGTTATTTTTTAAATCATTGAGTCTTTGTTTAAGTGTAACAGTCGAAAAATTTTGAGTGCCCAGTTGACCTTTCGATTGTTGTTGTCATTGTTGGTTTTAGACACAACTAGTAACAGTTATTTATGCTATCGTATGTTGTTAATATACTTTCGGCAATTATTTCAAGAATTATTTTTTCCTTTTGCCTACATCGACCAGTCAAACGCTCCAGAGGCTCGTAGCTAGTTTGGATATATTTTTGTGAATAATTGGACCGCTTCCCAGATAAAATGTTAGCGTCTCCGAATTCAGATTGTTTGTGTATAATTCTGTCATATGGCCAGATGCTTATCAATAGGCTTATCAATAATCTTAAATGAAAAGAAGTAAATTTGATAGGAAATTAAGTCTAAACTTGAACGAATGATTAGTTTTACAATATATTTGAACGCTGGGTATATAGGTGACACTTCCAACAACGTAAATACATATTTGTAAAAATCTCAGTAATTGAAATTATAATAGATAATTCTAGGTTTTCGTTCACTAGTCTAGTTTGAGCATCTTCAAGAGAGCGATTAAAAATCGAAATTATAAGAAGTAAATTGGCAGCACAAAACAATGGTGTACAAAACGATTATCCAATGATGTTACGAAATAGAGTTTGGGAGTTGTTAGTACGGTAAGAGCGTGAAGTATGATCAGCGAGTTATGATAGAGGGAATTAAGTGTGTGTGCATAGGAATCTGACGTGCAAAATAAAATCTTTCGAGCTTCGACAAACAAATACCGAATCTATTGAAAAGTTTTAATTTCAATAGCATACACACCTTGATCAAACAAAAATTTGTATATACTAATTTTCAATCATTTAGTGTGCTAAAAACTTCAAAAATATGTTAATGATACCTTTAGAATTGAAAATGTTAGGAGAAAAGTCAAATGTGAAAATTTCCCCGAGATCATTTCAAGACATTGATGGAAATCATTATCAGGCATTGATGTTTTAAAATAATATTTGACATTTTCGATTCATTTAAATTCCTTGGGGATGTGCTATTATAGTTTAAATTTTATTTATTTATTTAAACACATAAATATTGGCACAAATGTGCACCAAATATATATGCGCCACACAAATCTCATTTGATTTGTGTGACGGCTGTGATACTGCCCAGGTGCCCAAAATGATGTAGGTGGTTTCTTAGGGATCCATACCTGGAGCATTTGACCTAATGGTCTGATCCACAAGGCAGTGGAGCATCTTAAGGAGATGCAGTCACATGGTAGCCGGTCACCAACGATTGATTCATACGCCATTTGTTCCCTCAGAATACTGGAACCAGCCTATGTGCACCATTAATTTGGAATCAGGGTTTTTCAACTCCCCTGGGTGAACTTTCCGTGTCCACAAACCCAGTTAAATCGCCGGACATTCGCTTTTCGTCCTCTCAATTTTGTAAACAACACCCTTGCCACGAGAAGGCAGTGAGTAGGACTTCCCTGTCAGAGGCTATATACGCATGGCCATGTGAGAGCATTTCGAGAGGGAGAGCGGACTTTTCCCACTCTCGGCTGTACCAGGGCATTTGGGGGCTATAGTTTAACTAAGTTGAAGCATAGAACATGTCAACAAAAATAAAGTCACCTAAGTAAAATATGTAGACCATATAACGGTGAATCTTAAATTTGCAATTTTATTCAGGTGACCCAATGAATAATTATGGATGTAATGCTAACAATTGATACAATTTAAATATTAATCCAACATTTGAAATAAATGAACAATAATACAAAGTAACCTGATGTTATTATGGAAGCGCTAAATTTACATTTGAACCGCATGTTAGTTAACAATATATATATGGAGCATGTCGCTTTATTTCACACATAAAAGAAAACGAAAACAAAATTAATTACTTACTTTTATAGCCTGACGATCATTGCACATACATATAATAGGTAGTTGAGTAATTTTAATCATGTTAATAAGTTCTTGCATTCCTCCACGATCTTCATTACCAGCCATACCATCTACTTCATCCATAATTAAAACGTGATGACCAGAATTCAATGTTGATGCTATGGAAAAAAAGGAATATTCAATCCATACAATCGAATTACAAGTCAATGATGTCTGATGATAAAAAGTACTAAAAGACCTGAAAGTCCTAAAGTTAGATTGTTTTATTTACTTATTTATTCAAACATAAATGCATTGGTAAAAAGGGTCACCATAATATATATCAGCAACAAAAATAATTGAATGTGTGTGAGCCAAGATACTGCGCAGGTGTAAAAACTGAAGCAGGAGGTCTCTTTAGAGAGCCACTCCTCGAAACTTTGACCCGCAGGTCTAATTCACGAGGCAGCGGAGCAATGTTAGGAGATACAATCTCATAGTAGCCGGTGACCAAAAATAGGTTCATACGCCATTTGTTTCCTCAAGTTCCTGGAGTCCATGTGCACCATTTGTTTGGAATCAGGGTTGTTCAATTCTGATGGTGGATGGTCTGTATCCACCAAGCCGGTTTAAGCGCCGGACATTTGCTTTACAAGTCCTCAATTTTGTAAACAACACACATGCCACGAGAACGCAGTGATTAGGCCTTCGCTGTCAGTGGCTATGCAAGCGTGGCATTATGTCAGTCAGTCAGTCAGCAGTCACAACGTAGAACTTCGTACGTACGTATATCAGTTCGAGTTGCCATACCACATCAACACAGAGATGCAGTTGTCAATTCAAATCCATAGTGGTAGAAGTAGTAAGAGTATAAGCAGTAATCGGAAAGATTAGGGTTTGAAGATGTTATTCAAGGAGTATAATACAGTGAAATAAACGTGGCCATATGAGAGCATTGCCCGTACTAAAGCATTGTACGTTGGATTGATTAGGTACATTCAGTCAAACAATACGAGAAAATAGTTGTCTATTCGTCTTATTTGGTTTCCCCATATTTCTTTATCTAATCTTAGGTAGTAACGGAAAATACTTTAAAAGATTTTAATGCGAAATCTTAAGTACACAAACTGCAGAAATAAAACAAGGGAAGAATGTGAAAGAGTTGATGAAAACTAGTATATAGTCAATAGATGGAGAGACAACTACTCATTATTAGACAACGAGTATATATGTGAGGATGTAAACCTACACTAATGTTATTATATATTACATGTAGAACTGTCAAAACATTAATAATACTAAAATGACCTCTTCAAATCAGTGATCAAAACATTCAAAACACATCGCAGTCTATGTTTTATATCTAGAAAATCCACAATAAATATGAACGTATTTCACATTCGATTACTGTTTGTTCAAGGATTCCAATGCCCTAAGACTCTCATTATATGTCTTGAGTTTGCGCCACCAAACTGAATAAATTATTCTACTCCAGATACACTCTCAGAATTTGTATCCTTTCAGAAGGAAGAACAGGATACCATATTTTCATATGCGGAGTGAAGCTGATTGAAATCATTCAAAATTGGACATAAGACTCCACTGTTAAACTGACAGAACGGATGCTTCCAGCTTACTAGTAAGTGGTCTTCCCTGAGGTCATTTTTCATATAGGATAACAATTTAGGACGTCATCATTCGGGTAGTGACGCTTCTGGAAGAAAATTGTTCAAGTTACATATGTAGTTTGTGATATTTCTCATGCACACCAAGGTAGACTTCCATGTCTATCTGGTCTCTATCGTTCCTCAACTCTGCCACATTTAAGCGTCTAAAATTCCGTCAACTTTTAGCAAGGCTTTTAAGCTCGGTCTTATAACTGATACGAAAGCATACTACGTCATGGCCATCCTCTGCAAATCCAATCACGGCCTGATAGTTGTCAAATAAAAACTTAAATTTGGTGAGAATTTCAATGTAGTCAACCTATCCGCTGCATGCATACTGAATAAAATCAACTCCGGTAGACAAAAATAACCTTATATTATAGTGCATGTATGTTCCAGTTCAGGAGATCTGGATATTTCTTCTAAGATCTCATTGCCATAATGAATACCAGCAGCAGCCTCTAAATAAGCAGCCCCATTCAGACACTCAGTAGTGCTAGATACACAACTGGTGAACAAGGATTTTTTGCAACACTAAATTCTGTTCACACAGCAGCCATTGTTAGTTTCCAAGAATGCCATTAATTATAAACAACTGGCGCAGATTGAAGTGCGTGATGTGCAGAAATGTATTCGGCAAGTAAATGGAGTCTTTCTACACTGTGTTTCAGAATTTAAACGACCAACTCCGTCTGACTGTGTTATTTGACAAATAATCCCCAGCTCGCCAGCTATCATCTTGTTAACTAACCATACTGATAACAAGCAAATTTTGGTGCTTGAGATGTGAGATTCTGGATGCTGAAATAAGTTATACTATTTCATTCACCATATGTCTAATGAAAATATGACATTGAACTATCCAACCTCATAACTTTAATATTATTACCACAAGAGTTACGCAACACGTAGTAGTATTTTACTCGTTTATATTCATGTCTCGAATTAAAACCTGCATGTCCACCAACTAAATCAAGGTTCTATAAATATTGTGACATATTATGAACAAATATTACACAGTCGATAGCATGTTTTCATTTCGTGTCTACGGATAGCAGACATAACTCTTCTTGTGGCTCTTATAAAGTTACGCCGATCCCAAGCCCGGGCAAAGGAGCAAGGTTGAACGTGTAGTGAGCGACTCCATCCCGTAGAAAACAACCATGCTAAGAAAACGCCAACCAGAATAAACAATTTAAGCCATTTAAACTCTGCTCTCCAAGTTAAAGGATCTCCATTAAGAAGAATTATGATGCCTCATGGAAGAAGAAACTAGCAAGGGAATATAGTAAACCAGACAGAGGACAAAGAAGGTAAGCCAATCACTGAGATTTAAGTACTGAGGAACAGATGAGTAGAACACTTCGTGGAACTCATGAATACGTTCGGTCCATTGAATACGCCGGACATGGAGGCGGTACACCTAGACCATCATATAGCTAACAATTGGAATGAGCCATGTTGGTAGGTGTAGACTAACTGGTTGGGATTCGCGAGATGATAGCAACCGATGGTTAGAAACCTTGAATGACATGGCTCAAAATCGTTTGCAATGGCGAAGGTGCATCCAATCTTTGTGTTCTACCAAATTCTAACCTTTTGTATTCTTCATGTCCCTATCCTTTTTCTCTTTCCAAATTTATTTCACTGTATTATACTCCTTCAATAACATATCATATCAATATCATATCAACGCCTGTTACTCCCAATGGAGCATAGGCCGCCGACCAGCTTTCTCCAACCCACTCTATTCTGGGCTTCCTTTTCTAGTTCTATCCAGTTCTTGTTCATTCTTCTCATGTCTGTCTCTATTTCTCGGCGTAATGTGTTCTTTGGTCTTCCTCTTTTCCGTTGACCTTCAGGATTCCATGTGAGGGCTTGTCTTGTGACGCCATTGGGTGAGTCGTCTAGGTGGTCGATGGGGACTTGTTGGTCGCCGGACAGATAATGGGGACCGTTTGCTGCAACTGTGCACAGACCAAAACCTGTTTCTGGCCAGCACTAACTTCCGGCACAGTCATCGCCGGTGTGCCACCTGGCGTCCTCCCTCTGCATCCCAAGCCTGGACTCAGATTGATCACATCGCGATCAGCTACCGCTGGCGTGGTTGTGTACAAGACTGCCGCTCCTTTTGGAGTACCTATCTGGAGTCTGATCATGCACTGGTCTGCGCCAATCTCACCTTACTTTTCAGTGGCCGAAGGATTGACCACCACCAACGGATTGATGTTAGTAAACTGGCTGCAACTTCTGTTGCAAGTAAGTATCGAGCGGAGCTAGCCTCTAGGCTAGCTACCATCCCACCGAAAAGTATAGATGAGCATTGGTTGCATCTTCACGACGCCATGGAAATGGCGAGTAAAGCCGCTTGCGGCTTCGCGAAACGTCCCGCTTACAAGCACTGGGTTTCTTCTGGCTCTTTATAACTGATGGAAGCCCGTCGGTCTACTCCGGGTGACCGTGAGTTTGACCACAAACGAAGGCTGTTACGTAATGAAATTGAGCAAAGCTTGCGTAAGGACCGGGAAGCCTGGTGGTCGAAGCGTGCTAATGAGATGGAAGAAGCAGCTGCATCTGGTAACTGCCGGAAGCTCTTCCAACTCATCCGAGCCACTGGCAGCAAGAAGTCTGGTGTGAGTGAAACAATCTACGAGGATGACGGGATGCCAATCACTAACATCTGTCGACGTCTTGGACGATGGGCGGAATTTTTCGAAGGGCAGTTCAACTGGCCTGCTGCTCCGGCAACATCAACCAGCTTGTCCTGCCCCCCATGGCCGGTGACGACTGATCCACCAAACGAGGCGGAAGTCCGCAAGGAACTCCAACTCTTGAAACGTTATAAATCACCTGGCCCAGATGACTTACCTCCGGCTCCTTTTAAAGATGGTGGTGACTTTCTGGCTAAGGAACTGACTGCGTTGTTTGGAAAGGTTTGGGAGCAAGAAAGTGTTCCAATATCATGGAATGAGTCAATAGTCGTCCCTATCTTTAAAAAGGGTTCACGTTGTTCCTGCAATAACTATCGGGGGATAAGTCTACTTTCGATTGCGTCCAAACTATTGGCTTCTATCATTCTTCGTAGGTTGTTTAAAACCCGAGAACGATTGACTCGCGAGGAGCAGGCTGGTTTTCGTTCTGGTCGAGGATGCATTGATCACATCTTCACCCTCCGCCAAATGTTAGAACACCGTCATACTTATCGCAGGCCAACAATCGTAGTGTTTCTTGATATCAGGGCTGCCTTCGATTCGTTGGACAGGACTGTTCTCTGGGATTGTCTATTGAAGAAGGGTGTGCCTGAGAAGTTCATTAACATCTTAAAGGCCCTGTATACGAACACCTCAGGCAGAGTGAGGGCATACAACCACCTTTCTCCCTTGTTCCATTCGAGCAGTGGGGTTAGACAGGGTTGCCCGATCTCACCATTCCTCTTCAACTTTGCCATCGACGACATCCTGGAAACAGCTCTGATGGATGTAAGTAATGGCGGTGTGGATATGTTGCCTGGA